GTCAAATTATTGTACTATGTATTTATACAAACAAAATAAGTACTAATTACTCATTTAAATCCATTTCTTTTTCAATGATTTCAGGTAAATGATGATGAGACTTATACTTAGTAACGGCCCACTCAGCAGATCTACCCACCAACCCTTTGTTGTAAGCATCCATATATCTCCAAGATTTACGAGCGAATTTACGAATAGTTATTATGGGAACATCGTTAAGAACTCTTAGAAGCTGTTAAAGTAAGTCTTTGTAGTTGTAATTGCATATTCGTCTGGTTTCTCGCTTAGTAAATCCCCAGTATCTCTCTATAAAATTGCATTTACAGTGAAACTTAGAATAAAGTTCAAAGATATGCCCTGCTCTAGTAACTGCCTCCTCTAGCATTGATCGTTGTTCACAAAAATCAGGCTGCCGTGATATGATCTGTCGTGCACAGCAATCTAAAACTTCTGAGTTATCATCATTTTTATTAGAACACCGTTCACATACTAAACGAATTTTTTTTTCTGGCCACAGGTTACGTTCTTCAAGTATTTGTTTGATTCCTTTTGGTTGGCCTTTCAGTATTGCTACCAGGTAGTCATCTGGAAATATTATTGTTTGCTCACACCTCTCTCTGCGTTCGTTAAAATACCAGCTATTACGCATCTTAGGTTGTCTTCCTCCAAGACTCAGGTTCATTTTTGCTGTAACCAATGCATCTTCTGCTATAGCATTGTGATTTGTTGATTGGTCAAAACAGAAGATGCTAATGCATTCAGGATGCAATATTTCAAATATCAGAATGGCTCCTTGTACAAGTTTTTCTAACATATGTTCAGATTTTCAGTATCCATCCGACTGTATAGAATGAAAAATAAATGTATCCTTGTATTTTATTTGTGGGTTCACTTGCAATTGCTCATCAGATAGTCATAATAAGCCGTGACATGGGCAAAGGAAAGCTGAAATCATAATGGAACGTCCCATATGCTTTGAACGTAAAATATCTTCATCTTCTATAGTCCAGACTCTTCGCTGTCCATCATTTGCATAGAAGTGACATTCATCGTATGTCACTTGTACCAATTCCCTTTCTTCTTGCTCGAGCTGAGGTTCTATTATATTTTCTATTATATTACCATCAAAATCTTTCATGCATTCCTTGTATTTAAACATCCTTTCTAACTATTTAACTTTATATGTTACTACATCAGACCGCTCATGTTTATCGTAATAAATAACTTTTTTCTTTTTATCATAATTATATCCCCACAAATGTATGTAGTTTCGGCATGTCTTTTCGGTAACGGTATCTTGTTCAATGTATTTTCCTTCGATATATGCCTTTAAAAGTGCAGAAGATCGTGATTCAGGTTTTTGCTGACATAACCATACACGACAATCTTCAGATGACATCTTCATCATTAAGAAAACCCCTCTATTTTGTATGTTTTCCTTGATGATCAGCAATAAGTTCTCCTATTTGTATGTAATGATCTCCCTAATTTTGAATGCATCTTGACATATAATCACCCTTGTTCCACACGGTTTTAGCAATCTGTCTACTAGCATTCATCTTACTTTCTCCATCCAACGGTAGCTTTATGAATTTACTTATGCTTATCAGACACAAATAATCGTATGTAGATATATTTAATTTAGATGATTTCATAAAAGAGCATTGTTGATTAACTTCTTCAAGACGTATTCGAAGATTTGTCACGAAATTGGAAGATGATATAGGGCTTTGCACATGTATTAAAGGTGATCGTATTTTAGTATTAATAGATGTTATCAGGTTTTGTGGTTGTATTACAGTATCAACAGATGATGTTAGGCTTTGTGCTGGAGACGTTTGTATTATATCAACAGAGGTTTGGTTTTGTATATTAGTTAATACTTCATCTTTAAGTTCCTTTT